TCTGTCTTTGTCTGGAAGCTCATCTGAAACCTGTCCACCATGGGTGACCCTGCTGGTTATTTAAAATACCGGTGGCATAGCCCTCAGAATCATAGTAACTGAAGCCACCACAGCACGACAGACAGATGAGTGGTGGCCGTTTGGTTTTATGTTGAAACTGTCACTTTAAATTTTGATATCAATCCTGATACAATCAAGATGTTGTTTCCTGATACTATCAGTCCTGATACAATCAAGATGTTCTCTCCCAAGATGGCGGCTCTGGGAACAGCTGAGTGTCTTGAACCAGAAAACAATGGATTTCTGGATTCTTCTGAAAATTCCCCAGTTGTAAACCCTCCAATCCTTCAAACATACCTTTATATTTGTTTCAGAGTTCCAACACCATCCCCTGAGCCCTCTTGGCCCAGTATTCCGTGTTGTTGTTGACGGAGCTCTTCACTGCACATCTACCTGATCCGCCATCTTGGTTGTTCTTATATAGGTCTAAATGAGGAGATCACACGTCATTGCTGGGGTGATTGTTTTTAGGTGCTGTCAAATCAGTTCCTATTTACAGTGATCCTATGTACAACAGAATGAAATGCTGATCCTGCATCATCATCACTATTATTATGTTTGAACACATTGTTAAAGCCAATGTGTCAATGCATTTTGTTAAATGTCTTCCTCTTTATTCCTGACCCTCTGCTTTTGGGTATTATGTCCTTCTCCTGTGACTGGTCCATCCTGATAACATGCCTAAAGTACGTGAGACTAAGTCTTGACATCCTTGCTACTAAGGAACATTCTGGCTGTACTTCCTCCAAGACTTATTTGTTTATCCTTCTGGCAGTCCATGGTATATTCAGCATTTTTTCCAACACCATAATTTAAATGCATCAATCTCCCTTGGTTTTCCTTATTTGTATCCTTATTCATATAAGACAGTTGAAAATACCATGACTTGGGTCAGGTGCACCTTAGTCTTCAGTGATTAGTCTTGGCTCGTTAATATTTTAAAGAGGTCTTTTGTAGCACATCTGCCATATGCAAAATGTCATTTGATTTATTGACTCCTGCTTCCATGAGAGCTGATTGTGGATCCAAGTAAAATAAAATCCTTGATAACGTCAATCTTTTCTCTGTTGATCATGATGTTGTTTTTTATGCAGTTGTGAGGATTTTTTTTTGTTTTGGGAATATTTGCTCAGCATACATGTTGAATAGGTATTGTGAAAGGATATAACCCTGATGCACACCTTTTCTGATTTTAAACTATAAAATATCCCCTTCTGTTTGAATGACTGCTTCTTGGTCTATGTACAGGTTCCTCATGAGCACAATTAAGTGCTCTTGAATTCCCAGTCTTTGGAATGTTGCCTATAATTTGTTATGTTTCACACATTTGAATGCCTTTGCATAGTCAATGAAACACAATTAAACATCTTTCTGGTGTTCTCTGCTTTCAGTCAAGATCCAATTGATGTTAGTAATGATATCCCTTGTACCACTTAAGTGTGTGTCGGTCCTGTCCCCATCGTGAACAACAGAAGGAAACACTGCGGGATCCTGCACCATCTGTTATTGTCACCCTTTTAAATATCAAATAGGGAATAACTTTTCTATTTTGGCTTCTGAAGTGTTTTGATGAGAAGGATACCTGAATAGGACTATAGTTTATTTATCTCTGTTGTATCTCTAGTGCCTAGTACAGTGGATGACTTAGACTAGCAAAACAGTAAATGTTCTATTTGAAAGAGCTAGAAAATAATAATTAATGCCACTACAGGTCCAAGGGAGTCCTGGTGTGGCACTGTGGGTTAATACGATAGACTGCACTGTCGGTTTGAACTGCAAGGTTGGTTCAAGCTCACTAGTTGCTCCTTGGACCCTCTAGAGGGTCGCCATGGGTTGGAACCAACTCGACGGCACTTAACAACAACAACAGGTCAATAGCCTCAGAGTAGAATGGGAGTGGGGTTAGCTTTTGCCACACTGCCTTTGAGTTGATTCTGATTCATAGTGTCTCTACAGTACAGAGTTCAACTGCCCCATAGGGTTTTCTAAGACTGAATTTCTACAGTAGCAGACAGCGTAATCGTTCTCCTGTGCAGTGGCTGGTGGGTTTGAACCACCAACATTGCATTTAGAAGCCCAAACCTTACTTCACAGTGCCCCAAGGCTCCTTTGCCACAAGTAGAGTCCAATAATTGGTGTGTGTGTATGTGTGCAAACACTAGAAACACTGTAAGTGATCACCAACAAAAGAGGGCAACCAGCGAAGTTCTGAGGGAGTGGAGTATCATAAGTGTGACAAACCTGGAGGTGGGTAGGTAAGGCGTGCAGGCGAATGCAGGGCATTTTCTGCCTACCTCCATCTTCGAGGAAGCTAACGTATATAATGAACTAAAATCCCTGCCTAATGCTCTGGACTGCAAGGTCTGTTTGAAGTGCAAGGCTGGCTGTACAAGCTCACCAGCAGCTCTTTGGAAATTTTATACCGGGTCGCTAAGAGTTGGAACTGACTGGATGGCACTTAACAAGTATTTGTAGGAGACTTGTTGGCACCATGGTTAAGGTCTCTGTTGCTAAAAACCCACCATCCGCTCTGTGGAGAAAGTATGCTGTTTGCTTTCCTAAAGATTTACTGCCTTGGAAACCTTGTGAGGCAGTTTTTGATCCTATATGAGTCAGAATCAACTGGGCAGCAAAGGGTTTTTTTGTTAGTATTTGTAACTAAGCACTAAATAGATATGGTTTTGGTGTATAGGGTTCCTGCTTTTGTGAGTCGTGCAAGTAGATATTCATGGAGTGCTCCCAGACTTTGGCTCCACAAATGCTAAGGAGGGTTCATGGTTCCCCTACCCTTTAAGGAATCTTCCCGCTGACAAGGTTTTGCCATAGACTTGAGAGGGCCTGCTGAGCATGTGTGAAAAACGCCGCGCATGCTCCATGCAGAGAGCAGGTTTAAGGCAGTGGCTTTTTACTACGTTTCATCCGCCTCCACCGCTCAGCACGTCCCCCTCCTCTGTTTCCCGCCTCTCTTCACAAGGTCCCCAACATCCACCTTTGTCCCTTCCCCACGCTTACCCTAAACGCGGGAATCTCCATTGACGTCCGGTGACGCTGCTGTGCCGCCGCCGTGGGGGCTTCCTGGCGCTGCACAGGTAAAGCCGCAACTGCCGCCATATTGACAGAGCCAGGAGTCGGGAGGGGTCCTGAGGAAGCGGGTTGGGGTAAGTCACCGCGGAGCTGCAGTCACGGCGGTGGCTGTGGTGAGCACAAGCAGAGCGACAGCTCTCAGAGGGGCAGCACAGAATTGTGTTCTTTATGGGGAGTAGCTGCCTGCGGCGGCCGGGACCACGCGCTCACAGTCTCTGAGGGACCCCGTAGCGAGGGCAGCAGTTGTTGAAGGCCAGGCTGAGGGCAGTGGCGGCTGCGGGCAGTCTCAATAGACGGGATGCAAGACCGAGATGGCGGTAGACAGCTCTTGCTCAAGTGCTCCTGAAGGGGCGATGCTACCATTCCTTCCTCAGGAAGAGCCCTGGAACCAAGAAATGGAAGTGTTTGGCGGTGGTGGCGGCGGGGACTGCGGCGTGAACAGCAGCGAGGTGAGTGTGGTGTCCAAAGCGGGCTGGAGTCACCCCCCCCCCACGCCATCCAACCCTGTCTTCTCCAGATCCTGGCAGTGGACTAATAGAGATGGAGTGTGGGGTTGGGAAGCAGCGTGTTAGGGCAAACTCACTTCAGGCTGTTAGGCGATTGAGAACTCGAAGTGTGGAACTGCTCTTTCTTGGGGAATGGACGGGGAAGTGGCAGCGGATGCCAACAAGACTAGAGAGTGATTGCTAAGGGACTTAAGATCCAGGCTTGGCCTCAGGCACAGCACCTTTAAGAGTTAATGAGATTTAAGTTTTTTTTTTACTTTCCTACTTCTAGTGTAACCCAGGGATGCTCCAGGTGCCTCTTCCTCCTCTGTGAGTCCCTCTTTCTCCATCACACTCATTCTCTCTCTGAGAATACTTTAGCGAACAGCTGCGGACTCCAGCTGCTACTGAATCCGTACTGTTTTACAAATCCAGTGAAACAAACACACCAAGGTGATGAAATAACTGGGATTTTGCACATAGGGTTGGGTGCTCTCTGAATATTAGCTTTCTCCTTACACTGGCGTTTTTTGCGGGAACTGGACATGGACTGGAGGCCAGGTTTCTTTATCTACATTCAGGTGAGGATCCATTGGATCTTTTTAATTCTGCCCCCTTTCTTCATCCCCATTTTCCCTTCCCCAGCTGCGACCTCAACAAATTGGTACTTGAAAGAAAGCCTAGATGAATCTTTGGAAAGACTTAGCCTTGTTCATGCAAAATACGTTGGTTTGCTTCTCTTCTCACTTCTGAAAACTGTTCTTGGGTTTTGATATGCTGGCAGTGTTCAGGTACTTTTTCAAATTTGTTGCTTTTGTTGTTATGCAAGTGGGCAGCGTTTAAAACCAAGCATGTTTCTTTTGTGATCGAAAGTCAGATGATTTTCTGATAACTTAAATCACTTGACAGGATACTGTTCTAGTTGTTGTTGTTTGTAAGTACCGTGGAGTCGGTTCCGACTCATAGTGACTCTGCACAGGGTTTCCGAGGCTGTAAATCTCTACGGGAGCAGAGCGCCTCATATTTCTCCCGCAGAACTGCTGGTAGTTTTGAACTGCTGACCTTGAGGTTAGTAGCCCTATTCGTAACCACTAAGCTACCAGAGCTTAGAGACTACCATGTTGTTGTTAAGTACAGTGGAGTCGATTCCAATTCATAGTGACCCTGAACAGGGTTTCCGAGGCTGTAAATCTTTATGGGAGTAGAAAGCCTCATCGGTCTCCCGCGGACCCACTGGTAGTTTCGAACTGCTGACCTTGAGGTTGGCAGCCCGATTTGTAACCACTACACTACCAGAGCTCTACCATACACCTAGTAAAAACAGTTGGTCAGTGCCAAATTGTTTCACAGTAGCATATTTTGAGGTAGGGCGCAAAATCTCCAAAAGCTCAAAGTGCAACTGTATCTTCAAGAATTTGCTTCATCTTTAAATAGATGCTTTGGATTATCACATGTCCACTTTGTCTCTTTTTTTTCCCCCTTCCATTTGAACTGCAAGGTTGGTGGTTCAAGCTCACCCTACACATAAACCCTACACAGGGTTCATAAACCCTTCACAGGGTCGCTATGGGTCGAAACTGACTCGATGGAACTTAACAACAACAACAGTGTAGTGGTTATGAATCGGGCTGCTATCCTCAGGTTCAGCAGTTCAAAACTAACAGTAGCTGTTCCATGGGAGAAAGATGAGGCTTTCTGCTTCCGTAAAGATTTACAGCCTCGGAAACCCTGTACAGGGTCGCTATGAGCCGGAACCGACTCCACGGCACATAACAACAACAACCTCACTTTCTGTTATTCTTTTATAATTCCCGATTAAACTGGGGTTAAGATTTCAAACTAGAATTATTATTAAGTGCCATCAAGTCAATTCTGACTCCTAGCAATCCTATAGGATTTCCAAGGAGCGGCTGGAGGATTTGAACCGCAGACCTTTAGATTAGCAGTCCAGCACTTATTCTACAGAGCAACAACCAGGAATAGCACTTAAGGAAAAAAAAATAGTGGAAATAAATTCAGAAGTACTTAAAGTTGAATGTTTTGTAATTTTCATATATTAGGGAACTAAGGAGCTCTGGTATCGTAGTGGTTATGAATCGGGCTGCTAATCTCGCAGTCAGCTGTTCCTCGTGAAAAAGATGAGGCTTTTGCTCTAGTAAAGATTTACAGCCTCGGAAACCCTGTACAGGGTTGCTACGAGTCAGAACCGACTTCACGGCACATGACAACAACATGAGGGAACTAAACAGTTCAGGAATTCATGTTCATAGTCTACATTTCTAAGAACAGGATAAAGAGGAGTTTATTTCTTCTTGGAATATTGGTACACTTTCTAGTTGCACGAGTTTTCTATTAAGACTATTTAAGAGGACAGGAATTCTGTTTTATTTATATATGTAAACTTGATTTGTACTCCCAGGCATTGAGTTTATAAATACAGTTAAATGCTTTGATAAAAGGATGGGATGGGGGAGGAAGCCTTTTGCTTGCCTACTGGTGGTTGTGTGCCCGTGGAGTCGGTTCCGACTCATAGAGACCCTGTATAGGGTTTCCAAGGCTGTAAATCTTTACCTGAGGAGAAAGCCTTATCTTTCTCCCATGGAACGGCTTGTAGCTTCAAACTGCTGACCTTTAGGTTAGCAGCCCAACTCATAATGACTACACTATCAGAACTCCTTTGCATGCCTATTAGTTTACACATTTTTGTTTGCTTGTGACTTTAGTATTTTTTCAATTACAATTACCACATAGGATTTTTTGTTTTGTTTTAGTGTTTGAAGCAGGTTTTCAGTATTGTAGTGGTTTAGTCATTGGCTTCTCTACCTTGGCAATTTAAGGAGTTCTGGTAGCGTTGTGGTTACGAGTCAGGCTGCTAACCTAAAGGTTAGCCATTACACAGGAGAAAGAAGAGGCTTTCTGCTCTCCTAAAGATTACAGCCTCAGACACCCTGTACAGGGTCATTATGAGTCGGAACCGACTCCATGGCACATAAAACAGTTAAGATTAATTAAATTTAACCCTGCAGATGACTTGAACATATTTCAAGTGAAAACTAAGTGCTGCATTTGAAGAGATCTGCTTAGTCATTAAAAGTTTGTTTTTTCTTTCTTTATAAGGCTATTTGTTTGATAGAAAGGAAACAGTTTTATTTCCCAGAATTTGTTTGTATTTTAATTATATGTTTGCTACTGCTGGCTTTAGAAGTGATAACATTTGAGTAGATATTTTATAGCCCTAAATTATGCTGAATTTTATAACTAAGGGCATTCTCATTGTTTTCTTAAAAATGTGTTAGAATCCTTAAAGAAAATGGAAATAAGACTTTATTAAGGGAAATAATGCTATTTTTTTTTGTGTGTTTTATTCTAATAGGATTAAAAATTATAGACACCACTATATTGTATGTGGAGTCCTGGTGTGGTGCTGTGGGCTAACGCATCAGACTGTAAAGTCGTTTGAACTGCAAGGTTGGTGGCTCAAGCTCACCAGCTGTTCCTTGGAAACCTTATACAGGGTCGCTATGGGTCGGAATCGACTCCACAGCACTTAACAACAACAACAATATTGTATGTGGAGTCCAGGTGTGGCACTATGGGTTGATGTGTTGGACTGCAAAGTCAGTTTCAACCACAAGGTCAGCCGTTTAAACTCACCAACCACTCCTCAGAAACCTTATGCAGGATCTCTATAGGTCGGAACCAGCTTGACAACACTTAACAACAGCAACAATATTGTATTTGGAGTCTTTTTCAGTATTTTTTACCTGTCTTGTTTTCATGGGCAGTTATTAAGTATTGAATAATAATTTGTTGCTGTTGTTAGGTGCCATTGGGTTGGTTCTGACTTATAGTGGCCCTGTGCATAACAACAAAACATTGCTCTGTCTGCTATCCTGACAGTTGTTATGTTTTAGCCTATTGGTGCTGCCCTGTGCCAGTTCATCTCTTTGGGGATCTTCCTCTTATTTTGCTGACCCTTTACCAAATATTATGTCCTTCTCTAAGGAACATTCCTCCTGATAACATGTCCGACGTATGAGGAACAAAGTCTCGCTATCCTGGCTTATAAGGAGCCTTCTGGCTGTATGTCCCCCAACGAAGATTTGTTTGTTCTTCTGGCATTCATGGTACTTTTAATATTCTTTTATACAGTAACTCAAATGCATCAATTCTTCTATTTCAATTCTTCTTATTCATTACCCAACTTTTACATGCATATGAGCTGATTGGAAATACCATGGCTTGGGTCAAGCCAACCTTAGCCCTCAAACAGATATTTTTGCTCTTTAACACTTTGAAGAGGTTTTTTGCAACAGATTTGCCCAGTGCAATATGTTACATGATTTCTTAACTGCTGCTTCTATAAATATTGATTGTGGATCCAAGCAAAATGAAGTATTTGACAACTTGAATCTTTTCTTCATTTATCATGATGCAATTTATTGATCCAGTTGTGAGAATTTATGTTTTGTTTACTTTGGGGTGCAACGCATACTGAAGGCTGTTGTCTTTGTTCTTCATAAGTATGTATTTAAGTCTTCTTTGCTTTCAGCAAGCAAAGTTGCATCATCTGTGTATCTGTTAATGAGTCTTCCTCCAATCCTGGTGCCACGTTCTTCATCATAAAATCCACCTTCTTGGATTATTTGGTCAGCATACACATTGAATAAACATGGTGAAAGAATATAACCCTGACACACACCTTTCCTGATTTTAAACCATTTACTGTCCCCTTTATCTGTACGAATGACTATCTCTTGGTCTATGTACAGTTTCCTTATGAGCACAATTAAGTATTCTGGGATACCCATTATTTACAATGTTATCCATAGCTTGTCTTGATATACACATTAAAAAGCCTTTGCAGGGTGGCTGATTGGGGAGCAGTGCAGTGAGGATCTCTGTCAGCAATAACAAAGAATACCAGACAAAGCAGGTTCAGGTGACAGTCCCAGAACTCTGAA